CTCTAGTTTATATTGGCACTGCATACCGGGGTATTTAAATTAAAAGAAGATGGCAGAAATCAGCAAGAAGGTAAGCCAACCTTCATTTTGCCTTCTACTCGAAATCCCTACCAGAATCTGGGTCCCAAAATGCCCCAAATTGTGATTTGACATCATGCCCTTAAGGTAGATCTGAAGCCAAAAGCTTTTGGCCCAACTGAACTGAAGGCACCTTCAAGTCAACCTAGACTTCTGTTAATGTCATAGAAATGTGCACTGTGCAAGCAGTTTTCTGACTACAGAAATACTTTTGGATATAGAGATAGATTTTTAAATTTTTAATAGTTTGGACGTTTCCAATCCAAGTACTAACTAAACCTAATCCTGCAGAGCTTCCCTCTCAAAATGCATCAGATGCTTCCTGTCTCAGAAGCCCTTGCATCCTCATCCTATGCATTCTCCCAAGGTAAGGCAGTTTGATGTTCTGTGTTTCTAAAAGCCCACAAGTGTCTGCACTGCTATTTTAGCTGTTTTATGTTGATTGAGCATTTAAGAGAAGGAAGCATCAGACCTTGGTGGTGAGGGTGGTGGTGGTTTTAATTCATAAATCTTTTTCCACTAGTTATTTGAAGCATCACCAATGTGCCAGGCCATCAAGGTTTGCCATCTGTCTCCATCACATTGGCCTTGGTCCACCCAAAGGGCTACTTATGCACAGAAGAGGAAGAGACTTCATTGCTTTTTCCATGGCAGAGTGAGGATGGGATCCCACTAAGGAAGTCCATGAGCCACCGTGGGTCATCGTAACTCTAATGACACCTCTGTGTTCCGAGATTGTCAGATGGAAAAAGTGCAAAGAAGAGCAACTAAGATAATTCATAGCCTGGAGAAAAAAAACATATGAAGAACGGTTGCAGGAACTGGGTATGGCCAGTCTAGAGAAAGGAAGGACTAGGGGCGACATGATAGCAGTCTTCCAGTAGTTGAGGGACTGCCTGTAAGGCCTGCAGCCATATTCCTTTTGGATCTTTGGCCTGCCACACTTTCTATTATTCTACTATGCCATTTCTATTGTGGGAAAATGGGAGTGGAGATGGTACAAAGTTAAATGCTATGTAGCCAAAATAAAATTCCTTTCTAGAAAGCCAAGGTCATCTTTGCCTCTGCACCTGGCCACAACTGGATGGGTAGAAACTGCTAGCATGGCAGTGGGAGATTGGACCCTGTGATGGACTTGTTGGTGTGGGGGCAAGATCTTGAACTTTCAACTGGGTGGGGAAAACCTGGAAGCTTTCAGATTCGGGTTTCCCCAGATGTGCCAACATGGCTCTCTTAATAAATTGGAACTTTGAGCAGTACTTTGCCTTGGACTCTGATTTAATTTTGTGTGCTATTTAGAACCCTGATACTGCCCCAAAGAAGAGGGGATCAACCTATTCCTCAAAGCACCAGAAGGCAAGACAAGAAACAATGGATAGGAACTATGGTAATCAAGGAGAGAAGCAACCTGGAATTAAGGAGAAACTTCCTAACAGTGAGGACAGTTAACCAGTGGAACAGAAATTGCCTTCAGAAGTTGTGGGTGCTTCGTCACTGGAGGTTTTTAAGAAGAGAGCCACTTGTCTGAAATGTTATAGGATCTCCTGCTTGAGCAGAGTGTTGGACTAGAAGAGCTGGAAGTTCCCTTCCAGCTCTATTTTGATTGACTGCCAGATGCTGGGGAACCACACAGTAAGCATCTGGATGGCATTGTAGGAGCACCAAGAATACACAAGAGGGGGATTAGCAAACAAAGAAATGGCTCGTAACAATTGTGGAGACAAATTGCAAATCATTTTAGGCTCTACCTGTAGACTGGACAACCAGGATATGGGCCAGCATTGAGATTATCTGGATGGCCTTAGAAGTATATGGCTGTCAGGAGTCTGAGAGTTCTCACAGTTCTCAGCATAGAGGCAATCAATAGACATCTGTTGTTGCTGTTGTTGAAGGAGCCAAGTGTTCCACCACATTGATGCCATATGAAGGACTTTAAGCTTCTCAACAGGGCCAAGCTGCTAAATTGGCTGGAAGAATCACCTGAGCTGTGTCCTCCCTTTCAGTCCCAGCCAGGATGGGCATCAGCAGTGCTTTTCAATTCAGGTTGGGCAAGGCTGACCTAAAAAAAGCTCTTTGCGGCACAATCACTCTGCAGCAATGTTTTAGCTGCCTCTGCCGTGCTCTGTTAAAGCACAACGAGGCTCAGAGGAAAAATCAGCCGCCTGGCTTTTTCGTAATAGCAACATTCCTGGCAATTAAGCAGCTGGTTTCAGGGTCTCCAGGGGCTTTTTCTGCAGGAATTGTACATCTGTGCTTCATTGTAGCCTCCCCATTTTATCTGCATTTGGAATTGTCCCTGGTGCAAAGCACTTAGATTGCCAAGCCCAGCCTTTAGTGTCACAGGGATCGTTTCTGATCCATACTTAGGCAGTTTCAAGACTGCAATGATTCCATTTCACATACATTTTCACACATGCATACTTGGGGATTGGGAGAGATCTTTCACTGCAAAGAACCTGAAGATTGGTGCTTTGGAAGTAAGCAAGTCCAAGGACCTCTCTCCAGTAAGAGAAACTCTTGAAGGTTAGAAAAAGACTGTTTCCAAGTACATAACTAATTAGAAGTAAAGAGCAGTTTGCCATTTTTGCAGGAGAAGAAACTTGATAAGGGGTTAAAAGTCTCTCAAAATCAGCATATGTTCTGCAAAGAGGTATTCTAGAATTCCTTATTGTGGACATTGTCTGGCTTTCTTCTTCTTTAGCTTAGCTTGGAACTTGCCCCTGAGCAGTTCATGATCTGCTCCACCATCAGCACCTGCCATGACTTTGTTGCTATAATGGAGCTCCACCACCTCCTTTTAGCAATGCTAATGCTAATGCTAATGCTAATGCTAATACTAATACTAATACTAATACTAATACTGGATGAAACATGTAACAGTGATACCCATTGCCATCATGGCACTTGGTTCCATGTCCAAGAATTTTATAAGGCACATCAACAAATAGCAGCTTCCTGCAATAACACCAGTAGTGCAAAAAAACTGTGATACTCGGAACATCGTAAGGGTGAAAAATACGATTAGAACAAAAAGTCAAAAAATTAAGGGCAGATGCTAGTAACTTAAAGAACATGCATGAGCAATGGCTTAAAAACAGCAAAATCATAGATCGGCTAATCAGAAGATATATATATTGGATACAAGAAACATCAATGAAGCTGTAGAGATTGTAAAACAGCAGATAACAGCAACAGCTAGAAAAATTGAAAGATATGAGGCACGAATCATCCAATATAAGCCCTAAGTAGAAAAATAAGCCCTAAGTAGAAAAATAA